CCCCCCCCCCTCTCTCTCTTTAAAAAAAAAAAAAAAAAAAAACCAAAATCTACCTTGTCTGCATTTTTACATAATCTGACTATTTGCTAGAATTCCTTCACATGCCCTTTTCAAAAGAGCAAAACTCACGGTGTGGGATGAGAGGGGTATTTTGATGCAGTGGAGAATATAGGGTTAAGTGGGGGTGAATCTGTAAATATGATACATTTGGGGGGCATATAGGTGAAAAAGTTATTTCTTTCTTGCAGCATTCTAATTGTATGCCTGTGTATTCTTTTAGGATACATACCCTTACAATTCCAGAAGGGATTCTAAAGGAACACTATGACAAGCTTATTCACAATGATGGCTTGCTGTTTTGCATGAATGGGTGGTCATTCCCTATAAAGAATTCTCCCTTCTCCAATCCAACTCAATCTCAAGCTTCTTCTTCTTCTTCGTTTATTACATCATCCGCTGTTCATAAGTCGTTGATGAACACAGGCAGAAACTCGCTTATACCAGGTAAAGTTAAAATAAATATCAACTATTATGTAACATGTTAGCAAGATAGGATATCCTCCAAGGAAAACTTTATATAAAACTTAGATGTTACATAAATTAAGGAAATTTTTTATATGAGTGCAGGAAGCAACTTCCACTCTACTAATGCTAATGCCCAAATGAACTCTCGTATGGGGGCTTATTCAACTCCAGCTTCCAATGGATACCCTAGAAGGGTCTTATGTATTCCAGGTTCAAATTTCAATTGCTCATCCCTCAGTGAAGTTGCCGGAGGGATTCAAACATCACGCGGTAAGTTTTCATCTTAATTTTGCGTAGCATATCATATCCATAACTGATATTTACCTTAAAAATACAGGTATATGTCGAGCATCCATTGATGAAAATGCCCAAAGTCATATGTCTATGATGACAATGCCATCACAATCAGGTGCTTGGGGTTATACCTTTTTTCATCTATCTTTTCTAAGATGTGGAGATGTTTCATAAAAAGAAGGGAACCTTTAGGGGCTTATTCAACTCTAGATCCTAACATTTCCAACCTAGAATTGGACCACATTTAGGGGGGTTTTTGCAAAACTTACCCTTAATAAGGACACAAGGGAGGTTTCTCCCGTCACGGGCACTTTTTCCATTTGGACATGGGATTTTCATGTACAGATTCAGATCTAATGGTGTTAGTCGGGGGTTATCTGACAAAACTTAAGGGGAATTTTAAGTGACATTTCTAAAGTTTTGGGGAACAGCCATACTTAAGGCAGGTTTGTCAAATTTACCCTTACTTTAAGTACAAGTATGCAGTATGCATCCGTCGGTTAACATGTTAGAATGTAGCATTCATATCAATAAGTTTTATCTTATTAAGATTGTACATAGAATTTAAGAATTTTTTGCATATGAATACAGTGAACAACCCCCATCCTACTAATGCCAATGGTCAAATGAACTCTGGCCTCAATTATCGGTCTTTTACAACAAATGTCAATGCTCAAGAACCAGGCCCATTTGTACGCGAGTCATCGATGATCACAAATAAAGAATTGTGTTGACATATTAGTATTATTAGGGACTTATTTGTAAGATTTGTAGGGGCCTATATAAAGCCCAAGAGATATCATAATGAATCATAAAGGGTTTCATTTTTTCATGGTAATTCAGAGCAACGGCTGCCTCACCTCTTCATTCTCTCCTAAGCCCGCCGCTCACACCTCCCCCCACTATCGCCGGCCCGCCAGCAGAGGAACCCCCCGACCGCCCCACTTCGCTGACTGCTCTGGTCCTTCCTGCTATTCGGCTCTTGATATCCTCTAACTCGAACCGCCCTGACCCCTGATAACCCCGATCGCCTCTGACAAGCGACTCCCGCCGCTCCTGTTGTTTGCCAGATCCGGCTATATGAGCCCCCTCGCGCTGCTGTTATGGTTTTTTGTCCCGAGATCCAAAAGCAAGGCCGCCCATCTCCTCCCTGTTTTTCTTTCAGCGATCCCAAACAGCGCACCCCCCATCCAGACCTTTCCGGAGAAACTCCGATTCCCCCGCCTGGAACCCACAAGAGCCCTTCCCCATGTCAGCGAAACCCCCCTGAACCTCTCCCTGACCAGCGATAGCCCCGCCCGCCTGTTTTTCGATCCCAGACTCATCTCCCCCCTCGTTTTGTTTTTTTCTTTTTTGACCGATCCCAAACAGCCCCGCCCAGCTGTTTTTTCCGATCAAACCCAGTCCCCGCCCCGATCAGACCTTTGCCGTGCCGCTCTGGATGCGCGGCTAGCTGCTGGTACCTCGAGTTCTGTGGCATGGTTCCCTTGACTTAGTCAAGTCCCTCGGAAACTTATGACAGGTAAAAGTTTATATCTGCAGCTTATCGATAGAGATCAATATAACTGGTTTTGATTCTTGTTTTGCCTCTGAGAAACTACGCAATTTGTTTGAGCTGCCCTACACTTGGTTGTGCAGCAGAGGTGCTGCCATCGTGTAATCGCGTGCGGGGCGATTTCTTGAAATTTTCCTACTGAGCATCACAACAACGGGTCGGAAGAGCAAGGATGAAGCAGGTGGTGGGTCTGATACTCGTATCGATGGAGGAGAAACTCATTCAAGAGTATAGAACCGGCGGAGGTGTCGCAACTTTTGATGAAGCTAATGAAGTTGGTCGCTTGGGCGAGAGTGCCGAGCAAAAGACCAATATCGAGAGAGTAAATGCGATGCTTCCGACCATGTGTCGTGCGATCTGCAAGCTTGATGGACCCGAGGTAACATTACCTGAAGCTGGTCGGCGCGGGTGCGATCAGCCCTTGCCGGGAGAACCTGGAGGTTTATCTTGACATGTGAGATGCGAACAGAACACGGAGGATGGACCTCGGAAAGGAAAACGTAATGCAGCTGGCATATGACCACTCAATATGTATGGTGTAGCATCTGGCTTCCTCAACTCGTTGGTCATACGCGCCTGACGAGTGCGCCGCCGGAGTCGTGTTCGTAGAATGGCATTGAGAACAGCGTGAAGGCACCAGTGCTGGGAGAAGTTAAGAAGGACGATGAATGGAGTGGGGAATAAACCTGCGGGTATTTCCAATTAAAGGAGAGATGCCGACGCCACCAGCTCATGTCCAGCGGCTGCAAAAGGACTGTACAGGAATATGCTACCAGAGTATGGACACGCCTTAGTGCGCTGGATTATTGATATCAAATTTTCTCTCCCCCAGAGGCCTGAAGCTGACAAGGACCCTGGATGTAAAGAAGCGGGCGAGACCTTAATCTAAACAATGAGAGGACCTATTGTGTTCTTCTTAAAGGATTGACATCACGAGTTTCGCATGCACGAAGTTGCAGTGTGCTCGCTACCAGCCCTGACAGATTCCCACGCTTCGACGAGGCTATCTCTGCTATGACAATCCAGGAGAGAGACTTCGCATTCGGCTGCAGGCGGGGCACAGGTGGAACTTCCTGTGGTGAATCATGCACTGACAGCCTCTAGCAGCACGGAATTCTAGGGGAGAGACCCGCAACAGTGCTACTAACTGGGCGGTGGCGGCTGGGTCAGTCTACTGTAAAGAAAAAAGAAAAAAGAAAAAAAACAGAAAAATCACTGCATTGCACCAAAGCCATCACAAGGGTAGTGGAGGATATCTGGCGTGGCAGCCGTGTGTCAGTTTTCGGTAGTCTAATATGTCGTTATCGCGTGTGGGGGCGACCGTGGTGGAAGAGGAGCAGAAAGGAATCTGGGCCCAATCCTTGACAGTTAGCAAGACAAAGAAGAACGAAAGCTGAGGTGGTTCTCTACAGAGGATGTTATCAGTGCTCTCGCTCTACGCAATACTCGTTGGTAACAGGAAAAAACAGACAAGTAGGGCGAGGGGCATGTGAGATTTGAGGAATGAGGACCGGGCGGAGGCCATCTACTTTCGTTCTTTGCCGTCAGAGGGCAAACACTTTGCTACCCTATCTGGCTGCATCGCCGAACAAAGTACTGATTGACAATAACATGCTTCCTTGCTTCTATGTCTCCGAGCGAACAACGATCATCCAGAGTGGAATAGTCGATCTCCGGTGCATCTCGGCCATGATGACAGGTAATCGCTAGTGAGTTCTCATCTATAATCACTCACTTAGCATCGCCATGATAGTATTCAAAGCAGCTGATGGTGACTATTTCATGCCAGTGGTATGGTAAGGGTACAGTTGATTTACTGTGGTTTCTGTATTACTTTAAGTCACAATGTTTTGGCATGCCTCCTTCTCTTTCCACAGTCAAGTACTTTTTATCTATATAGTTCTACTGCTATCAATTCCAACTAAATAATGTCTAGTTTGTCGTCTCTTTCTTGATATTCCCACAGAGTAATCTTCCATGAGAAGGGGACACGGCGGCAGACTTGGGACTATTGGCATAACACTGGCGTAGTGGAAGCTGTGGTATCTGAGAATGCGTGAAGGGTCTGGATTCAGCATTGGTGTCAGTCACCGAGGATAGCAGTGAGTAGGATCTAAAGATGAGTGGCCTGAAATGAGTTAATGCTGCGCATCACAGCGTTTGGGACACCTTGCATCCGGCTTTAGTTGTTTTAGGTCAGATTGTATCCTTGCCATTTATTTGAGAAAGCAAATCAAACAGAAACTTGTGTGTTATGCATAGTGATTGGGAAAAGCTTACTAAAGCTCTTTATGTTAGTTCTGGTCATAGAGTTACTCATAGCATATTGACGGCTGGTAAATTCAGATGTTTGGGGGCCCTTTTTTCCACACAGGTTCTATGAATGGATATCAAATATTTTGTTACATTATTCGATTGCTTCTCTCGTTGTTACCTTGGTTATACCTGATGAGAATACAGATTGATGTGTTTGGGTGCTTACAAAATTTTCATAAGACTGTTTCAGACTCAATACGGAGCAGTGGTGAAATATGAGGTTCAGATAATGAGGACACGGAGTATAGCCAACACGAAGCCCTTGAAGAATATTTGTCAGCTCATAAGGAATGACATCGCACCAGACAACCTGTCCACTACACTCCCAGCACAGAATGCGGTAAGCGGAAAAGGAAAGAAGCAGACATCGTTTAGAGGTTGCTTTAGAAGCATGACTGATCTCTATGAATCGTCCGCAGGGAGACATTGGATAGGAGGACAATAACCAGTATTCGACCGCAGGCAATGCGTGATCCACAGACATGGCCCTCCGAGAGTGCCTGGAATTGGAAGTCTCGTCGTGTGAGATTATTGAAAGCGAGATAATTGATTCGGGATCCCTTCCACCTCAAAGCGTTTGTTTGGCCTGTGTGTGTTTTGTGAAGGACAACAGGCTTTTGAGCCGTCTGTCGGCAAAGCTTGCCCCTCCACCGAGCTGTGAAGTGTATCTTTGTGGTGATATTTCTGCTTACTTTTCAGCTATGGGAATATGTTGCTACGGAGACGTCGGTGCCAAAAAGAGTGTTTGTGAGCAATTGGAATTGTGCACTTTCGAGAACTCGAAGGCCAATATACCTACAGAACGGTTAAGCTTCATCTCTGGTCTAACTTCGGTGCAATATTCTAGAAAAGTATGCGGGGCGAGAGGATGGCAGAAATGGCGCTGTAGAGACCGGAGCAACAATGGTGTGGAAAGAATTCCTCATTTCTGAATTAAATTCAGAATTATGCCCTTGGGAGGCGCGAAATTGGATTATGGAGGAGTTGGATTGAGCGATCGTAGCCGGAGAATCTAGCGAAGAAATAGGAACCAAGCGAGACAAGGAGGTGTTAGGCCCAGTGTTCAGGGGGTGAAGCGTACCTAACCTATAGACAGGACAGCGCAAACAATTGGAGAAACAGTACCTACAGTGGCCACTCAGTGCAACTGCGCAAGTCTCTGCCAAAGCCCACGCC